TTCAGCCAGCCTGGAAAATTTTTTCTCACCAAAAAGGCGGGAAAATATTTTCATCAAAAAGCCGGAAAATGCACACGTGTGGGCTAAACCCGGAAAATATTTTCCGTGGAAAATTTCGCCTATCAAACAGCCAAAAAAGTGGAAAGTGGAAAATATTTTCCTAGTTGCCTGGAAAATAAGGCGTATCAAACACGCCCTTAATCTATTATCTAACGTCATCTAGACTGAAATTGTAATCCCGTTGAGACTACGTAGCAGTACTGTAAAAAATAATATAAAATAATGAAGACTATTAAATATTTAGCAGGTGAAGTTTCTTGAAGATCTTCCCTTGTCAATTAGTATAAATTATTGATGATCATATATTTGTAGTTGCTGGTATTTCCTAAGATTTGGATAGGTCCACAAGGATTCTAATTGGCCAAAAAATGGGTTTTATATTACTTAGTGTGGTACACCTTCACTACATTAAAGTTTATATGATAGATTAGGTATAATCTACTCATGTACATGTGTCTTTTGTGTATTTAATTTTTAAAATTAGTTTCTAATTATTTCATCTTTGTAGTTTCACACCGTCGAAGTCGAATTTATCTTTCTCCTCCAACTACGGTGGGATTTAGGTTGATTATGGGATGGATAGCTCAAGTTCGACTAAAAGTTAGGTTAGATATCAGAAACAACTTATCTATATGAATTTTTTTTTAAATAAAGAAATTAAAGAAAGATTTAAGTCAAGTCCGACTGAGCCTTAAAACCACCTTGATGCGTACAAGACTTAGAAATGAATTCACTATCAATGACTTTTAGGCTGATTGGCACAACCCACTTGACATCTTTAGGTGGGGCGGATAAAATATAATTATGGCCCTGTTTGAGTCACATTATTTTTTTATTCTCATTTTTTTATTCATTTTTAACCACACATTTTCAATAAAATAATATTTTTCATCACATCAATAACTTTTCCTTCTTTTTCAACCACATATTTCCCATCACATCAACAGTAAAAATGCATTCTTTTTCTAAAAATGTGTACCAAACGGGGGCTATATTTTAGGAAAGTCACACCAGCCCATATTCTAAACTTATATGATTATGATTTATTGAGCTGGTAATAGATGTGTTAAATAGGACGAGCTTGTCACAGCCTTGGCTCGTGCTAGAGTCAAGTCGCAAGTTACAGTCGCGCAGCAAAAATCTCGTGCGAGCGCGAGTCAACTCGGCTCGCCCTACCAAGGGGAAAGTTGGTGGATCAAGTCGAGCCCACATTTGGTGAAGCGAGCCAACTCGCGCTCGACTTGTCCTACACGCGAGCAGAGCACAGAGATTCGGCCCACTTACACCTCTAGCTCTTGTACAATATTTTTCATAGCGTTTCAATCTTTAACATTTCAACTATAGTAGCACTTGAGAGTTTCAACGGACATATTCCTTCTAAAAAGTCAGTTGAAATGTCATGTATCGCACATGCAATCAACACTTTTGAGAGAACTTTTCAGAGGAGACAATTATACGTTCACTTTCAATGAGAACAAAATAAAATAAGGAAAAAAAAAAAAAAGAAAATATTTAACCCACCATAATTCTAAACAATCAACTCAATTCCAATTTCCAAATACAACTTATGAAAAATGTTTTCTACTCATATTCATATCTCTAACGTCTTTTCCACGTCATTTTATTAAAAACTAACTTGTATAATTGGAATTGGATAAGAAATAAAGCAAACATTAATAAAACAGGAAAAAAATTGATAATTTCAACTTTTAAAGTAAAAGATAGATAATGTTTGGATTGTTGTAGTATGAAAGAGTGGCCTACAAATGTATCACCATCATACCAAAAGCAATTTTGGTGTCAAAACTCATGAATTACATATTTTATATAACAATTGTGGTGTCCACATTGGTTGAGGGATTATAGTAAGAGAAAGGGGTGACTAGAATATTAATATTTGTTAAAAAGTATAATTTGAAATTCATACGTAAACTGAAAACAGACTGTCTAGATAGAGATTTGACATGACAGCAATTGTTTAGAGACCATATCTTGCATTTTCACCTCTATTCACACAAATGTAAATATTCATAACTACGATCATATCTTTGTTATTTTCTATGAAGAATATGTATTCGGCCCTTTTCGCTATCCTCATAAAAATGATATATCTCATATATTGAGCTATGTGGAGATAATTTAAAAACAATAAGTTAAACCCGTGTTGATGATTCCATGCATCGTTATCTAATACTGCACATTATACATAATTTTATCGTGTCATCCCATGTAACAAAAGACCATTAGATTCTTACTCATGTAGGCACCATTTTCTTTTAGGTAAGGCACTTTTTTATGTATCTTTTATACTTTCTCCCTGGATCAAGGAACAAAAACTATACAATTAAGCCAAAAAAAAAAAAAAAGATTATTTAATTATCCTCAAAAAGATGTCTTCATGTTTAATAAAAGAAGATTGAAGCATATTCCCTAATATTACTTAATTTATCACTATGCACATCTTTTATAGCATTGTCTCCTAAAGTAGAGACCACTACCACGTCTACTCATATTGGATGTCTCTAGTTATTACAAACAAAAAATAAAAAAATGTACTAAAAATGTTATACTTAAACAAATTTCACATATTTAGATGCAATCTCAAAATTGGATCAATTGGGATCTTGAGGATCTTTAGACAAAAATTTCGGTGTAGGGACCAAAAATAATTTTTCTAATGATTTTTTTTTAGAATTTTGACGTATATAATCGATAATAAGAGCTTGTCACAATCCCGAGAGCCATCTTCCAACTACACCTCCACATCCTTAATGAGCATCGACTAACTTTGTGATAGAGAGTTTGTAGGTAATTTATAAGTCCACTGTCAAATTTCAGGACTCAATCTTGAACACGACTAAGAAACTACCAAACTGGAGTATATGATAGGGATACGAGAGAATTTCTACCAAGAGGGATGATATGTGTAGAGATCAAAAAGAGCACCTATGATTGCACACATGCGTAACATATATAAAAATAAATAAATAATAACGCGTCACAATCATGATTAAAGATTCATCGACATTTTTTAACCTAATAATGTATACTATATCCTTTGGGACTACATTTTGATATCATAGACACATTTGCTTGAACGGGTTCATGCACAAGTTCAATGGACTTAAAAGATATATACTAGGCATGAAAGACCAAATCTAGTAACATGGACATATAAGATTTGTTTGACTGTCAAGTACTAGGTTTATATTCATGTTAATTTTCTCCCAAAGGTCACATGCTTGATAATATATCACATGGTAGCCAAACCCAAGTAAAGTTTAGCATAAAAGTTAAGATCACGTGTGAATCAAAAGAGTTTATATAAATAAATTTGAATTGATACATAGTGTTCTAAATATAAATATAGTCTTTGTACTAATCCAACCAATCTAACAATCTCTCGGATTACATCGGCCGCAATGAAAAGTAAACTCCAACGACCCTTCGAAGATTTTCCTCCAGATTTTTGGACTTGTAGATAGTACAAACCAGTTTCCATGGCTTGCACAACCCCGTGAAAGAAATTGAGGTAAACGTAGTAATGAAATTCTAGATTCTCTCCTTTACTCGACTTAATTACAAAATGAGAAACCTCTTCGTTTCTTGGGATTCGCTGCTGCATCAGGATTACCTTTCTTCATCATGGCTACAAACTCGTCATAGTTGATCCGGCCATCCTGCAGATATATGGGAACTTGCTTAGGTTATATGTTTTATACCACTAATGGTTTGTTTGTTAAAAATGTGACTACCGTAGCTTCCAATCATGACGACTACCACATACCAAACATGCCCTAATGGAAACAAATGTAAGTTTCTGCTTAAGTACATTTACCCGCTTTTATCTTTATCCAAATACTGGAAGGCAGTCTATAGATGCTCTTCTTTATCCATTCTGTTCAATTGCATTGTTGCTGTAATGAATTCCTCATAGTCTATGATTCCATTTCCATCAGCATGGGCCTAAGTTTTTTGAAAAAGAGAGCATCATATTTGTTAAGTCCAAATTATGATTGGCAATTTCTAAATTTGTAAGCAATTTCCTTAGTCAAATTCAAGTCCTAGTTGAATTGTATTAGAAATTTATCGAGTTGTAATCAAAGTCAAAATAGGAGTTATTGAATCCTAATTAAAGTCAAAAGAGTTGGGGTTGATAGTATAATCCTTGAAAGAGTTCAAGATGTCCAAGAAGATCACATATGATCATTGGAAATCAATTAGAAGTAAAAGATGTGTAGAAGTTTGCGCAAATCATGCTCCTGATTCTGAGTCTCAAGTTGCAATGCATTTTTCACATAGAGACCTTTGAAATTTGGACAAGGCTATTTCTATAAGAATTGTAGCACTTTGAGTTAGCATTTCAACGTATTTTGAATCACCTCATTCGAATATCGAAAAGAAAGTTATGATAAAAATACTAACGACTGATCAGTTGCCGCTAGTCTATCGTTGGACTAGCGCTCGAGCGATGTGATTATCTGAGGAGCAGTAATATTCGATTTTCAAGCTAATTTTGAGTTCCTTTTCATCCCAAACTCTACCTATTATAAATATATACCCTATGGGACATCAAAAAGTGTGTTGAATCAGATTTATTCCATAGAGATCAATTCTTTGATGATTCAAAACATTCATTGATTCCAAAATTCAACCACCACATATTACTTGATCCATAAATTCTTCCAAAACATATATTGTTTTGATCAAGACATATTGTTTCATATAAAACCACAAGATCAAAACACACAAAATCTTTTGATCAAACACCAAACCATTTAATCCGCCGAAGATAAGTCGATACTAGGAATCGAGAGTTGTTGCAAAAGCACAAATTCAGGAAGACTAAGGTGAGGTACCAGGATTAGGGATCTGGCATCAGGAGTAGGCAGTCCACGAAGGCTAAGGTACAAATCAGGAGTCGGGATTTGTTTTGAAGGAGCATAGCTCCAGTAGGATCAAGGGAGATTGTAGGAATTGAGGTTAGAAGTTCTACGGGGACAGGTTTGGACCGTGCTGTAACTTTGTTTCGATTTATACTGGATTACTGACTAGCAAAGTGCCCAGAGTTTTTTTTACCCAATTTGGATTTCTCTGTGATCATTTTTGGTGTTCTTTACTGCTTTAATTATTAATTGTGTTATTCAAATTTAGGATAAATTGACTTATTTGATCTAATCATCTAGAAACAATTAAAAAGTGACTTGTTGCTTTTAATTGTGTAATTCTGCACGTTGGGTCTAAATAAATCGACTAATTTAAAACTTTCAATATTGTAGCGAAAAACAAGGCATCAAACACATTACAATATAGTTTTAGTGAACTTACAGCTTCCGTCAGTTGTTTAGCTTCGTATACAGACAACTCTGTCCCTTGGTTCGCCAATCCTTGCTTTAGCTCTTCAAGTGTTATTGTACCACTATTATCAGTATCCATGCCTTTGAACAGTTGTTTCAATCCTATGATTTCTTCTTCCGAGAGGCAGCCAGCGATAACCTGTTCATCCGAAGAAAAATCAGCAGTTCTAAATGCATTCGAAACTTTTCAACTAGAGGAGCTCTAATGCTCTATATGTAAATGAAATGAGAAAGAAAAAGAGAAAATTCGGTCACGAGTGTTTTCTTTAGTTCTGTTTTGTATAATTACCCGGAGTGCAACTTTCTTGAACTTGTTCATAGCTCTATACTGCTTAAGCTTATCAAGAACAGCATTATCGAGAAGCATATCAGGCGCCTCTCCATGACTCCATCCTCCTTGATCAATGGATGATCTAATTTTACCACAATACAGTAAGTTAGAAAATAATTATTTCATTCTGATTCAAGAAATATTTGAATTCTTGAAATCTTATGATATGGGATCTTCCAACTAAGATCATTCTTGAATTCAAGTCACTGTACAGCACAATAGACGGGATTTTAGTTTTCTTCTTCTTTAAGACCGTTAAGTACTATACCATCCACTTTACCAAACAAGCCGATTATATTATACATACTTAGAACTCGAGTGCCATGAGCCTATGAGTCTGAAGTTAACATCTTTTTGACAAGATCCTTTGCTCCACTTGAGATTGAAGGCCAAGGATCACTTGTAAAATCAACATGTCCTCTTAAAATTGCATTGAAGATTCCATGCTCCGATTCTAAAACGAATTAGTGAAACATATAATCAAATTGAGGCACAATTTTCATATGTAAAAGGCGAAATTTGGACAAAATTTTAACGAAATACCTGCCCAGAAAGGTGGAACTCCACATAGAAGAATGTACAACATCCAATACTCCAAATATCAAACTCTGGTCCATATCTTCTCTTCAACACTTCAGGAGCTATATAACATGCACTTCCCACAATGTCTTTAAATACTTCTTCTACAATAAAATGTACACAATGTTGCCAATAATTTCTTCAAATATTGAGAGTAAATGAAATTTGATGGGGAAAAAATCTGTAGATTGTAACCTTCTTGAATAGAAGACAGATAAACCAAAATCTGTTGCCTTTAATGATGCCTTTTCATCCTTATTTAACAGAAGGAAATTCTCTGGCTTGAGTTCCCTATGAATGACCCCATCTGAATGGCATGCGTGAACAATCTGTACAATAGTTCTCAGCAACGACACGGCTGCACGTTCAGTATAATGCCCCTTCGCAATGATCCGATCGAAAAGCTCCCCTCCGGCACACAATTCCATCACCAAATGCACTGAATGTTTGTCCTTATATGCCCCCTTGAGTTCAACAATATTAGGCTGTCCTGCCAAATGGTGCATGATTTGGACTTCCCTTCGAACATCCTCGGTATCCTCGTTCGCTAGCTTCCTTTTCGCTATGGTTTTGGATGGAGTTAATTTAATCAACGGCCACTAAATTTTGCAATGATTACTACTCACTCATCAATCTAAAGTTGCTCACTGAATTTTGTTATATATTACTGCTTGCTTACTGAAATTTAAAAGTTTACTTGTTACTCACCTAAATTCGAACAAAATTACTCATTGCTCTCTAAACTTTGCTATAATTAACAATTATGGACATGATATGGGTGATTAATGAGTAATTTTATTCAAATTGGGTGAGTTATGAGTGACTTTTTAAATTTCGATGAGCAAAGAGTAACTTTTTGAATTTCGATGATTTTAAATTTCGATGAGCAAGTGGTGACCTATAACAAAATTCAGTGGTCATTGATTAAATTAACTCGTTTTAGCATGCAAATTGCTCTCCCATTTTTCTGTTTGTACACAAATGCGTCACCCTGAATTGTCCTCTCCCGAGCTCTTTTCCGATGGTGTAAGTCGAGCACACATACTCCATTGGCCGCCCTAAAACCGGCTCTATCGGGGTCAGTTTCGAAGGCTTTGTGGAGTGATTAGGAGAGGCAGAAGGTGGAGTGGTTATAGTTGTGGTTATGGCGTTACCCATTGAGGCATTTTCGTGGTGTTTCGACTTGGATTCGGCTTTTCCCACCTCATTATCGCCTTTTGGAGAGTCATCTGCGGCGCCCTGGGGGCAGCAATTCCCTATAGAACAAGGAAAGAACAAGAAGTGTCAAAGGAGAAGAAAGGAGAAGAATGAGAGGTTGCCCTGCCCGGAGGAAGAGCAAAGAATCTTTTTTGGGGGGTCGAAAAGAGGCAGGGCGGGGGAAGGAGGGAGGGAGAGAGAGGTACAGTGGGATTCATTGCATTGGATTGATGGTGAGAGACTGTAGGAAAGATTTTTGTAAAGTTCTTTTTTTTTAAGGAAACAATTTTAAGACGAGGGTTTTGAGGTTTCCCAGGGAATATAAATACATTTTTGGTTGGTTGGAAGTCTATGAAAATGGTTAGTTTCCTTGTAACTGTAAGAATGACATCTTCCCAACATAAGCTAAAATTTTAACAACTTTCCAACCAATCAAACTTCAATTCTAACCATACATCATTGGACCCACAAATTTTATTAACTTCTCGACTACAAATCTTATCAAGATCTGCTAAAACTTCATCAAAAGCTTTGTCAATTAAACAACCCTAAACTGTGTATAAATTCTTCCCAGACAGAGGCTAAGCTAAAAGGAAGCTTTAGTCTCCAATCAAATCATCTTGGAATTGATTCATCGAGTCCATTCAATCAACATTACACATTCCACAAAATAATGGGATAATGCTTCGGCAAAGAACATAAGAAAATGAAAAGAATCAACATTACATATTCCACAAAATAATGTGATAATGCTTTTCTGCAAAGAACATAAGAAAATGAAAAGTCGAACTCCATACAAGTAAAAGATAAATCTTGCTCAATAAGTAGGTATTGACGGATCCGCTTTCACAGCATACTCGTGAATTCCCCCGGTCACGTTGAATACCTTCTTGAAACCCTGAGAATCCAAAGTAGTAGCCATTACATTTACTGAATCGGGAAAATGAAATTGTCTGTGAAGAGACATATACTATCCATGCATAAACGACGACATGTTTGGTACATCAAATTATACGGTCCAATACTAGTATAAAACATAATCTAAGAAAGTGGGAAAGACATGGTGAGTTGGTTCACAAGTTTGTTCTAGTATAGAACTTGTTTAGCTATAGATATGGAGGATATAAAAATCCATTTATCAATTCTAAATAATAAGCTAAATCTAGGTAAAATATTCGTAATCCTTGACATGGAAACTATTTGGTGATAATGTTGACAAGAATATGAAACAGCTCACAGTATTGACCTTCAGAAAAAACGGATGAACTACATTTTATCTAAAACTCGGATTAAAATAGAACTAATCGAAAACCAATGGTGTGAAATCTGCAGTTATGAAACTAGGTACCCCAGTTATATCTAATAAAACCAGCTTTGGTCCTTCCCAAACACTGTCTAAGAATATTATCAAGCATCCCACGAGAAAATAAGTGCATCCTGTAAAAATAATTTTTGCTTCTGAACAAACATTCACCACATAGTATATGCATAATGCTTTACCTGTGTCTGCAACCATTTGGCGACTTGTAAAGACCTCATGCCATGATGACACTGGATTGCAGAAATCAGAAAGTTGTCAAAACATTGTAAGGAAACAGCAGTTGGTTAAATTGAAAATTGGGGGAAGAGGAAAATGTATTTGGAAGTAATTCCATGCACAGACAAGTAAATTCCCGAAATTGAATTGATGGCAACAGCGAACAATTTATTTCCCTTTTATTTACTTGGGTTGGAATGACAACATATAACCAACTAAATGCAGAGTACTTGAATCCTATGGCCCTAAACAAGTTGTGGGGTAGATATACCCAAACAACATACAATGAAAACCAATTTGACTTATGTACAAGTAACTTAGTTAACCAAAAACAATGGGTAGCCTGCATTTAAATAACCCAAATAATCTTCTTAACCCTGTTAATGGACGGCATAGCGATTTAAAATGGGATTGACAAGAAAATCTGGGAAGCAAAATCGAAAACGCCATAATTGCACTAGTAATATGAAATGCCCAAAAGAAAACAAATGGAAAGAGAGTTATACTACAATATGTAAACAATTGGATCAGGAAGAACTGAACATACGAAACCCAGACATGTGACAAACATCTTACCACCTCAAAAACATAGAGAAACCAGAATTACAAAGTAATAATTTGTGAGTTGAAAGTGCACAATAACAGAACGAAGAACAGGTACACGATAACTGCATGCAAGAATTGACAGCCATCCCCTTCAACAGTAATAAAACATGAAATATTGGACTTTTCTGGCATTCATGTGTAAAATTCAGAGTATAAAGGAATTTGCAGAGCTACAGACTACAGTTGATTCAGCATAGAAAGACAGTTTTGAGACATAGTGTGTTCATATCAAAGAGCTAAGGAATATACAAACCAGAACATATGTATCCTTTTGAGGATCAAACTTAGTCATAATTTCTGGTCCCCAGCTACTAAACTGGCGAAGTGGAAGAACCGTAAAACCTGGCAAAGAAGCTTGGGCCCTGTTATAGAAAAACAAGAGGTCAAAATACTGACAACATAAATCCTCCAACTGAAAGTGAAATTTGAGGGTGGCTTTGAACAGTTTCAACTCATGTTCACTGTTTCTGAATTATGCTCACCCTTGGGAATTTCTTTAACATAAACCTACCTACCTGTGAAATTGGGGCAATTTTCTATGGTTCAGGCTTACAGCAAATATTCCTGGTGCCATCACATTAAAAAGTTGTGCACACATTGTATGAATAACCACTTCTTTGGAATGAAAAGAACATTTTTCTTTAGTAAATCACACATGCACCATTACCACAAACATTAAAAATTCCACGTAAAGACTGGGAATGGGTGTGCTTGCACGCATGTGCTTTTTTAGTAATCTGGAAAATTGAAAAACTATGTCTCATTAGCCATGAATAACCTTTAATGCTTTGCTCTTGACTTTCCAAATATAAGTCAAATTTTTTAAGGGATAATGATGAGCATGTTAAATCTTCCCAAAATATCTCACAATTTTGTTGTGAACCCGGTAATTTTCCTTGTTATATTGCAATGAAAAAATAAAAAAAATATTATACGGTAGAATAATATAAATTTTTCTCATACACTTCTTCAGGTTCTCGAACGTCAATCAGCTGAGCCTCTTCAAGAAAAGAGGGATGCTGGATTTTCTCGTGAAGCTCAATTGGCTGAATGTACTCAAGAATCGATTCTTCCCTGTGCATAGAAAATGGCAAACTCAATAATAGAAAATCCATTTCCATAGGAGACTAATTGCAAAAAGCTTTTGAAAATACCTCTCAGATAGGACTTGCAATAAATGCCACCCAAATTTAGTCTTGCACCCTACAACTTTATTTAGTGGTGCACTGAATGCTGCCTCCTCAAATTCTGGCACCTGATATATTTGACAGTGAAGAGTAAAAGATCAAACGAGGCAAAACAGAAAGAGATTATCAATTCAACTCCACATTAAACAAGGGAAATTTGGACAATTGCACATAAAAATATATCTAATACTAGAAGTCCAAAAATATCAAAGAATGCTTTCACAGTTGAAAAAATAGCTTGATTGAGTTGTAATTTCTCCTCAGGCACTATGTAATTCTCAACCCCCAAAACAGAACCATCTCAGTCACAAGAGAAGAAAATGTCTGACAATTCATTTTCTGATGACTATTACTCAATGTTAAGCGGGGAATGCAAAATATTTGACTTGTAACTGTGACATCAGATCTCAACTCTCAAGCTTTATACAATGATCAATCTAATTATTTCAGAAGATTGAAGGTAAAAACTTTGAAGTTTGACTTCTTTATGCTATCAAATTTGGAGAGTGACTTATCAGCTACACATACTTAAAATTAGTCCAAGGGAAGTAATTTATTTCAATCATCAAGAGTATTAGTTTAGAAAAGGAAGTTCAAGAAAGATATATACATGAAGAACATACCATCTGCCCCTTTCTTACCCAACCGAGCATTCCTCCTTCCTCTTTTGATGGACATATTGAGTATTCCACAGCCAAGTCACTCAAATCCTCTCCTGAATTACCGAATACATTGTCACTGACCAACAAATGAGGACAAGCTTTGACACAGCTTTAATGTTTCAAATATGAGGCTCCTATTTTAACCTAAATGTAAAAGGGGCACAACAAGTAAACTGCTCAGGTTTCCAGATTAACTATGGATCTTCAACAGTGTTTTTTGTTGTATTTTCCTATCATAACAGGTAAAATATCAGTATAGAAAGATTTCCCTACTGGATGGTTTACCTTATAGAAACTAACCTTCAGCAACTCTTTTCTGCAGCTCAAGCAAAAGCTTCATGTCATCTTCTTTGACAAGCAAATGCTGCACTAATATTTCTCTGCCACCTTCAGAACTGTTCCCAGTGCTAAATGAAGCTGGGGAAAATATATAGTTTAGACCATAACTAATTACACTAAACAAAAAACTAGAAATGAAACTGACAACATAATTGCACATCTCTTTTACACACCACTAGAGAAGAGGAAATCGATTATTGCAGAAGCAAGTCTCAATATAGCGAAGTCATAAGTGGGGATATTTGTGGGGTTTCAAAATTTGTTCAGCATGCAGAGAAATTGATCATTGGAATAAGTTTATTATGTTCACTTGTGATCTATCGTGCAGCAAACAATACCACGGTGCTAGTTAGAGAACAAATTCTCACATAATATATTAACCTTAATGAAATATATATAACATACTCTACATTTAGCAACACAAGGTCTTAAAATGAAGTATCTGAAAAATCAATTTGAATTTGAATGGATTCATTTCAAATATCAAACTTGATACCACAATTTGATGTGACTAAACACAGAGAAAAGTGTTCTTTAACTGAATTCATGGATTTCAATATGAACGGACCCATTTCAAATCCCAATCCCAAGGCCACAATTCATACCAAACAGAAACCAAAGTGCTGTCTTGACATTGAAATGTTCGTATTGTTGATCTCTTCTAAAGCCCATTACAAATTTTAGATAAATAAACACTTTTGTTGACGAAAAAAAAAAAAAAGAATGCAAATGACTTTTAAATCATTCTTCTAGGAGATCATAAAAGCAAACTAATTAGGGGAAAAAACAATTAACGATAATTACCAACAATAACAAAAAAATTAAAACACAATCTTTTGCTCCAATGAAAACTAACCCATTAATCAACTGAAACAAAGGAATGCAAATAATTATCATAACTATAAAACTAGAATAACAGAAAAATAACCCACAAAAAAAAAAAAAAACAACTAGCAACAAATAAAAATCGAATCTTGAACAAAAGTAAATTCCGAAATAACTTCAGATCGAGGGTCAAGAATACCCGTGGCTTTTGGAGTGCAAGGTTGACCAACCATGTGCAATACCCTCTTGAATTTTGAGCCCAGATTACAATAACTATGATTATAAATAGGTTGCGTAAGTGTGGATTTTGGATGAAAAAGTGAAGGATTTTGCAGTAGAGCAAAGGAAACGTTTGTACGTTTGGTGAGAGTGGGGAGAAGAGCAAAGAGAGGCGCTGGAGCTGTGAACAAAATGGGTTGAAGATGATGAGATGATGCCCTTAACATTGCCTTTTTTTGAGAAAAAACTTTTGTGGGGATTTTCAGTTCTTGTGCCCTGAATTTTTTATTTGAGTGAGTCGAGTAAACAGTGAGACAAATTGGAAAAGCTGTAACGACGACTCTCTTTTCTCCCATCCTATATATTTTGAGAGGCACTATTTGTATACCCCGGTACAAGAAAAATTATTCATATATTTTTCCCTTTTTTTATTTTTAAAAATAAAACAAAATAAGTGTGTGTATATATATATCAATTTTCATAAAAGTTAATGTAATACGTGGATCAAAATTTGTGAGTATCATGAAATGTTAATTATTATTAATAGACTTTGGGTTAAATTTCCATCCATCATTTAAGTTGAGCAAAACAGTGGCTAAAGAAACATAATTTAGTATGCGAAATTGTTTGTAGTTTCCTATTTTTATCTCGAAGGAAAGATTTCGAGTCCTCCTAGCACAATCTTTATTTGTACAGTTAATCTCCGAAATCAAGCTTTTCAATCCTCATCCTTAAGTTTCGTTTACATATTTCATTAGTTTTACACAATTTTATTAACAATAGTGTTACATTGTCCTCGTGCTAGATCTATGACCTATGTTTTGGGTGAATAAAATTGACAAAATAATATACTTGACATATAACCTATCGTTGACTATTTTAATTTTTTAAGAATAGAAAAAAGTTACTTTAAAACGTGAAAAATAAATTATTTTTTAAAATTTTTTTTATTAAATTGAATGGAGAGAAATAATTTTCAAAAAACCACTTCCATACCAGCCCACTTGTGTGAAGGAATTTAGAAGGCTAAATTGTGTCGATGGGCTTGTAGTCATACAAAGCCTATTTAGCTTAGTGATAATTATACGGAACCAGGTCTTTTCTTTTACGTTTTAAAAAATCAGGTTTTTACGTTTTTTTTTTCATTATTCAAGTTTAAATTTTTTTAATTAAACAATTAACCGTTTAATTAAATTACGCACGTATCCCGTTAATTGTGAGTTTCAAATTTCTCAATATCTCAACTTCCATATCTATCCAGCCCTATTTTCATTCGAGCACCTTCTCACGTCCTCACGAACTTCACGTCCACCACGATCAGAAGAGTTCTGTGATAAATATCCACGCAATCTATTGTGCTTCGTTATTGTTTGTGAATACAAATGGCGAAAACAAAAGATGAAAAGAAGGGCAAGAAGTCAGTGCCGGCAATGGTTCGTACGAAAAGAAGGAAGACAA